AGATGGTTATGTTGATGCCGTTGCCATTTGCCCGTTACCCGTTGGCTGACTGGCTGGCTGGCTGACTGGCTGGCTGGCCAAGCACAGAACAGACGCTGTCTGGCAGCCGGACCGAATGTGGTTTGCTGTGTATGTTATTGGAATAATGAGTTTTTAGTGATGCGCATCGATTTGTCAATTGATAATTTGTTGTTTTCAGTTTCGTTTTGTATTTTTCCTGTCAGGTTTTTTTTTTGTTTTTGTTTTTTTTTTGCCTTTCCTCTTTTGGTCCTCCACAAGTGGCATCGACAGCGAACCGTCTAGTGTCTGAGGTTTTCTCATATTCAATTGTATCATTAATTCTACTTTTGTCATATTGAGAGCTTAACAAAATTTGATTAATTACATCGTTCGCATCATGGGGAGTGAGAAATTGTCACAATTGTAAATGTCCCTGCATGATATATGCATGTATTTCTATATTTGTATCTTGCCCCAAGAAATTTATTGCGAAAAATACGAAGAACAACGAACTGGCAATTACAATTTAATTAATTAAAACAAGATCTTCATAGCCATATATTTTACCCACGGCGAGGATTGCATGCCCTTTGTCAAAGCCATTATGAGTTTTGTAATCATTGGCTTTGACAACAGAGTTGCAGTGTGGCAAATGGTTAAACTCGGATAGAAATTGAGTGGCAACCAATCTATTAATAGACAGAATACTTCTACATTTAATTTAGATGGCTTTAAAACTGAGAAACTAGTTCGCATAAGAGCAGACAGACGGACATGGCTAAATCGACGCGGCTCGTTATGCTCATCAAGAACATATATATACATATATAAATCATAGCATGAGAGCCATTTGTTAAGCTCTGGCCCTAAAGTATGGACAAATTATAATTAAATTATTTCTTAGATGCCATCCTAGTCCTAGTTGTCATTATTTCAACCATTTGGTTCAGCTTAAACTATAAAAGAAATTCTTTCTCATTGAACAAATTGTTATAAGAATAAAAAAGCAATATATATATATAATATAATATATAATATATATTAAATATAAATATTTATTTATTTGCTTTGTGGGGCATTTGATTGTTCCTTCTGCCTTCTGCCTACTTTTGCACAACATATAGAAACTTGCAACATCTTGAGTACAGTGAAAATTGGAAAATTGAAAGGAGTCTCTTAAATATAAATTAGCATGCACGAAATGCCGACTGGCCGATCCATCACTAAACATATTGTGTAAAATTGTTTCTTTATTTATTACGCAATGGCAAAACAATCCAAAAATCTTGAAGCAGCCACTTGAGAAATCAGCATCAATAACCTGCAAGGGGATAAGGATAAGCGTTGTCATCCCTTTTTTACTTATACATAGATACATATATATATATTTATATATGTATAGATATGCACTTACATATATGAACGTTTTTTGTATGTGTGCTTTAAACCTTTTTGTCTTTTCACTGACTGGTGAAAAACTCTTGCTGCCCACTTGCCAAGCTGCCCATCCATCCATCTAAGCATTCGCGTCCTAAACGTCAGTCCTTATCGCCCGAACTCTAAAAGCAGAAAGCGATTTAAATGCTTACATCAACAAAAGGGACTAATACATACATACATACATACATACATATATACATATACATATACATATATATGTATAGAGTGCTGTGGCACCAATATCAACGACTTTGAAAAGGTACATCAGGGATATGCTCATGTGCATATCGAAAGATTATATACCCTAACTGCACAATACTATTTATTTATTAACTATATATATATTTATTTATTAACTATATATATATTAAATCTCTTATCAAATGAACATTTCAATGGATACTATAACTTAAATTGAAATTTATTCAAATCGGTGGAGCCGCATTCAGCCCAACAACAACCCTTAAAAACATATTTTCAACAATATTTACAAATAGGTTTATGTCGCTGTGGTAATCACGTCTATATCATAATAAATCACTGATTATATCATAATGATATATATTTAAATATAACGAAAATATATGGAGCTTGTCCGTATTCTCGGCGATTTATCGGCTCTTCCAGAAAACATTTCTTTGCACTGAGCAGAATTTAAAACTTCCAAGATTCGCTCAAAATGTAATGTTTTAATAACTTTGAAACGATTAATCAGAATGGAATGATCGCTTCCTGTATACATTGCGAGTCGTCCTTACAACCTTTGCAGTGCTTTGACTGTCATTCGACAGTAAATATACTAAATGATTAATTATTATATGTTACATCAAACTTAATTCATTTTATATATGGATATTTAATATAAGAATAATATAGATGATGATCGCTTTAGATGACCCATTGTAGTTAGAGTATACGAGAGGCAAATAGGCCAAAACAATAAATGAAAAAATACTAAATCTGCCATGGTATTTGTGCACATTTCCCTATACACTTCAAGCATACTTGTGAGCCAGGCAAGGTGTGTGAACCTTGGCGATTCAAATCGCATTGACGTGTGTGCCAAGAGAGCGTAAAACCTCAAACACGTTGTGTAACTCTTATGCGTTATAGTTAAACCGGAAACGGAAATCTAATAGACCAAAGCATGCATAAGTGATGAAGCGAGAAAATGCGTCCCCGCACTCAGTTGCCAAACTTTTCGACTTCCAGAAAACCCTTTTCAATGGTGCCCAAAAAGCCGTTCGTCGAATCTTATCAGAAGGCTTCAACGTTCGACCATCACGTTTGCCCTTTTATGCCCTGAGTCCAGTTCCAAATTTGTTGAAAGGGTATATTGAATTTGTGCTAAGGTATGCAACAGCCAAACATATGCATCATCGACTCCATTAATTATATGTAAATAATTTATTGATCAGCATCAGGCGTCGTTATTTGAATACTCACTTGGGTTCAGGACATCTTCTAATCGAGCCCCTTGACTGAAGCATCCTTACTGGTCTTCGTTTAGCATTTTAATATATATTTATATATGTACATATATATGTAGATATCTTTAATGATCTATACAAAAAAATATATAAATTAATCTATATATTTGTCTTTGTCTATGTGAATTAGTCTCAGTTTTGGGGCCTAATCTTAATAGAACTTTGAGCTTACTCGTATTTTCTCTTCATACTATATATATATATATATATATATATCAGAATTAGCTATGGAAACAAACTCTACATCTTTTAAGTGAATGAAATGCAGGTGTGAGGAGACGACTTCTGGTTGGCAAGGGTATATTATATTTGGCATGCCTGAGATGGCTTTTCCTGCTGGTGGGTGTGTTTTTTGTTGTTGTGTTTTTCCTTCTTTTTTTTATCATTTTCATTCTCTTGCGCATTAGCCCGACTGGCAGTGGGCGAGTGTTTTCTTTTGCAAAAGTTTTACAGCCGCAACCTTTGTCCATCTGCACACTGAAATACAGAATCAGCAAATGTGTGCCGAGTGTGTGGCGTGGGTGATGTGTGTGTGGTGTGTGTGTGGTGTGTGTTGTGTGGCACGGCCTTGATATTGCTAACACATGTTTCGAGGAAGATTACCTTGTCAATCGGTTCGTTGAACGATTACTTTTCAAATGCTTAAAAACTAAAATCCAACGAGCGTCATTAGTCAGCGCGTTGCAATCACAAAACACCCTTCTCTAGAATAAAAAACAAAAAAAGAAATCAAACATAAAAAAAGAAATGAAAAAAATAATATATATATGTATATGTATATGCATTTGGTTTACCAAAACTGTCAGATGTTGCCCAATAAGATTCACAACTTCCTTCCTGTGCAGCAAAAAGAAAGCAACGAATACACACTGAATACACTCAAACACTCAAACAGTGAAACACTCAAACAGTGAAACACATACACATTTCGACAACATCGTCGGAGCAGAGCGACAACATTGTTTTATTTCTTATTTCACAGCCAATGCAATAAAATCGCCTAAATATCCCACTCAGAAGGTAAATCGTTTTGCTTGTTCGAAACAAAATTCGCTTCATCTGCATCCAAAATGAGCCCCGCGGTGCAAACATTGGCGCCTTTGCTGCCTCTGAGCCAACCGGCAACATATTTCCCTTACGTATCACTTGTGTGTGGCATATACGAAATAGAAACTACCTTCAAATTCCCCAACTGTATTTTGTTGTACAATTTACAATTTATAATTGGCCGAATTATAACACACTTAGCACGGGATTATCCAACAATTTCTGCCAGTTAACTTTGTGAAGCTAATCTAAAAATGGATTTGCATATACAAAAAATTAAATTTAAATTAAACATTATTTATTTTTTTAATAAATACATAATAAATTATAAAGATAAGAAATATTTAGCGCAATAAAAGCATGGAGAATTTTGAGGAGACTAGCTCTGTAGCTCATGTGGCAAGTCGTTAGGCCTCGCCCTGGTGCTGGACTGACTGGATACCTGTGAGAAACTGGACCCAGATCAGTTCATTTTAGTCGCCGCAGTGCTTCTCATATCGTTTAAATTAATGTGACGACAGAATGCCAATGATCATGGACAATACTGGGTGCCATTTTTTTTGTTGGTTTTTTTTTTTTCAGGAAGTCAATTATAAAATATGATCAGTGTGGATCACAACTTACTGGGCATTCTATGGAAGTTTTATTATCGGGGAATTGATGCGATATGGCAACATCGCCGCTCGCTCGACGAAGGAACGTCATAAGTTGGCCATGTTTCATTTCACGTGTCATCGACATCAACGGCAACTGTTGTCATTAATAATCTAGAAACAGACTATGTGGCATTTTATGGTTGCATACATAATTTTTTTTCTTCTCCTTACCGACAAGTGCCCATAACGATTTAGACGATTGACAGCTGCGAAGTGGGTGTCCATTTGGTTACCTTTTACTATGGCTCTACCAATGCCGACAGTTCTTCTGGTGTTGTTATTGTTGTTATTGTTGTAGGTGTAGCTGTAGCTGTAGCTGTGGTCTTTCCTGTTATCCAGTCCGTGCCGTTGGTAAGTTTGTCATATTTTATGGGCCGGTTAAGTCCGGCTCCGTCTCCGTCTCCGTCTCCACCTTCAGCTCCGGCTCCAGCTCCAGCTCCAGCTCCAGCTCCAGATACAGATACAGCTCCACCAATAGCTCCCCTGCTCCGTTTCGGCAGTTTTGCTGCCTTACTGACTGGGCCCCCTCTGTGGAGTGATATATATGACAGGCGGATTTTGTTTTTTGTGGCATGGGTGACAATCCCTTTAGAAACTTTTATTTATTCTCGCATGTTGGCAAAATGTGCCCCTTACACGCAATTCAAGAAGAGCGGCTAGTCAACTTGTAACAAGGCACCGCAACAAGGACGACAACAAAGACAATGAGACAACAAAACAACGGGCCAACAAGACAGCGACAACCACGACGACAACATGAGTAGGACTTGGCTAAAAACACACACACACACAAACACAAACACACTCACATTTATGTATGTAAATAGTGTGTGCGTGTTTTTGCTTGAAGCTATTGCATTATTAATTATTTTTAATTAGCCACATGCATTTTTCACAGACTAACAATAAGTTGCGCCCGGCAGAACGTCGAACATCGAACACAAGAAATCGACTTGTAATTGTAATTGTAATTGTCGCAATTATTAGGGACAAAAACAATAGACAGCTAGCAACTTGCTACTTACCGATATTTACACACATGCTGTTAGCATACGGTAAACATACATCAATACATCAATACATCCATGTGCCATCAGCTGCCAATTAAATAATGATGAATGTGTAACGAAAGCAATTGATATTATTACATAAATAATATTGTCATTTCAAAATTCACTTTCTACACTCTGATAACCGAATGTACGAGTATATATTTATAAGTTCTCCCATCTGGCATCCTTGTGTTTCAATAGATGGAACGGAAATATAGATCAGGAATATATATATATATAATTTATGGGATCCAAGATGATTCCTCCCGCACAAGCTCAATTTAAGTTTTGACTAATGTACACAGATTTGTTAATAATCTAGATATGCTTAGTGGACTATACTTAGTGTGTCAAAGTGTCTTCAAATAGCTGCTGGACTAGCCAAACAAAGGGAACCCTGAAAAACGATCGGGCGTTTGGCAACAGCTACGAATAGTTGAAGGATGGCGAAGACCGGACTGAGAGACAGCGGCGCAGAGATTGCCGAGTGCCCCAAGAAGTTTGGCCAAAGAAGTTTTCTTTGGGATTTTTTGTATTTTGTTTTTGACAAGTATCTTGCATCTTTTGGTTGCATGCATATGTGTGTCGAGCGGAGGCGGCGCCAGCGATCGTAACAGTAACAACAAGGCAACAATATTAAAAACCAGAATTGCACAAAGAGTTGAAGACAATCGGATGGGGTCCGTTTCTCAAGATGATTTTATCAGTTGAAACAGATCGACCGACTCTGAAGGGTTTCAAGATTACCTCATGAACTTTTGAAGTTTGCCAAGTGTGAGCAAAGCACCTCGTTGTGACAGTAGCTTTGGGTTCAATTTATGGTTAAACTACTTGTGATGATGTATTCGAAGTCCAAACTAAATGAAAGCAAAGACATATCAAAGACTCATCTGATTTGTCCATCCTTTGGAGCATGTCAATGCTGGATTGTGACATCAGTTTTCGAACTCGGCTGTTGATCTCGATTGACATTATATATACTTAATGGGTTTTGCCTGTTACAAAGCCATTATACTCATAATTTCAATTTGAAGTAAGCATGCTACTAAACGAACTAAGAATGAGTTTTGTCATCATTCGTTTCTGTGAAGTTTATTAAAGTATATTTGTAAATCAGAGCAAAAGTATAGCAACATCTAATTAAGTTTTTTACTGGCTAATGTGATTTTAAACTAATTAATTTATCCTTAAAGCTGACTAGTTTAGAGCCGAGCCGTTGGTCTAAAGTGACAGCTCCTTAATTCTGAAACCACAAGCAAAGCAAAGCTGAGCAACTTTTAAGGATTTTTGCGAGTACCAGTTGTGTTCATATGCATAAGCCTGATGTAACTGCTCCTGTCTACTGTCTACTGTCTGTAGATGTCCTAGTTGAAAAGGATACCTGCTCAGATGCCCTGCTGGACCATGTACAACATGACGTAGTGTGTGACATGTGCGTTCCCTTAATTGGCTGCATTATTTATTTGCTGGCAGGACTTGGGCCCCACAAACAAAAGGGTTGACATACAGCAGCTCTGCTTGGATCTTCAATCACGACGACGACAAGTGGTCAGCGTGGCTGGATTTGTTGGCTTTCGTTTTTATTCGGACTTGGATTTGGGCGTAAACTATTGTATTATTCGGCAGCATAAAATATTCACGAACGCAATTTACCATAACGAAAAGTGTTTTATTCTTTTTTTTTGTAGTTGCTGTTTCTATGAGCTCTGGCTGCTGGAGGAAGCACATCCAGCACATTTGGCTGGATAGTCTGGATAGCCATTGATTATCGAGTCAGCTGCGGCTTTGAGTTATGTCCAGGCATAAAGAAACCATTAATTAAATGGCCCATGGCACACAGCAAATTTAGCCGGTGTCATTTTTCTGTTCATTTCTATCATTTGTATCCGAATATCGAACAGTAGCAGCTTAATGCATCGCTGCGATGCCTAAGTTCAAGTTTATCTTTATGGTGGACTATTTCCCTGTGGAAGATGCCCAATACCAGTGGCAGTATTTTCCCAATCATATGTGCATATAACTAATGTAAGACTTGACGATTTAGCAGTTGTACTGCTGAAATACGGCTTAATGATTTGAAAAGTGTTTAAAGTGCTCGTCAACATGAAATGAATTCATTTTACTTTATTTATTTGGTATTTGTCAAGCTAGAATTATGACATTTTCACGAGAATTTCCCTTTGGAGCTGGGAAATTGCGAATCGATAAAACTAGGGTATTTCAAACCAGAGTCCGTCAACTTAATAACTACCGTTAAAGACCAGCCCCTATCACCAGTTGACTAGTTCGTCAATCCCCAAGGATCTTACTCATACGCAACAATATCTTCTACAATTTATAGACTTTTCACCTTTGGAGTTTTCACACAATTTCTAGAGTTTTCACCTTTGGAGTTTTCACACAATTTCTAGAGTTTTCACCTTTGGAGTGTAGTGCATATTTAAACTGTGTTTTGCTGTATTCGAATCCTTTACCAGATTCAGTGTGTCTTAACCGATATTAATGTCCACGCCTGGTTTTTAGAATGACAATGTATATTCCTATTGGAGAAAGAAAGGTCGAACAATCACCTTGAAAATAATTTTCCAAGAATTTCTTGAAATTTGCATTATTTTCTTTTTTTTGGCAAATTCAGTTTGCCAATACAGAAGAGGGTCAAGATCAAAATGATTGATTGATAGTTTAATTTTAGTGCGATTTTTCTCAAACTCATTTTCAAAGCACAATGTGGGCCCGTGCGAAGCCGGGAAATGCCTTCTAGTCAACTTATATTTATATATATATATATTGTTTATACACATATGCATATGTGTATAGGAAACAAGTCGCGGCAGCAGCGACGCGGATCGCGTCCTCGGAAGGGCAAAAATAAATTACTTTAAACGGTTTCGAATAGCAAATTGCAGATTGTCATTTCAAAAGACATACCTTGCCACACATATCAGTGTCAATGACTAGGGACTGTCTGTTGACTGGGGTGCGGGAAACGGGTCAAGCTGTGTGTGTGTCTGTGTGTGTGTGCAAACTTAAAATGACCAATGACCACAAAACAACACAAATACACTCACACACACACACACGAGGGCTCTTAAATCGGGATCAGGAGAAGTAAAGCCAGAACGGCAATAATAAAAACTTCAAAACAGCAGTTCGCGAGAATTGAGATTGGGTTGAATTTTTATAATTGAGTTTGAGCAGATCTTATGTGTTTTTTCTTATTTTGTTGTACTCCTATACCCTTGCCGAGGGTATTATGATATTGTCGTGAATTGTGTAACGCACTGCATCTCGATCATCATCTTTATACATACATACATACATATTCTTGAACATCATCATCATCATCGTCAGCTATCTGAATTAAACTTGATTTGGCCCACTGCAACATGCAGAGAAGGAATCCGTAGAAACAATTGCTAAAAATTGTTCAATTATAATATTTATATGTGAGTGCCTAGAATAGTTCATCTGACTTGCTTATATTTTATGTGTTACTCTCTCCTTTGCTGGCTCACTAGTTTTTGGGGATTTTCGATGCAGGAAGCAAGAAAATTAAAACTATCTAAAGTGGAGCACAGTTCTCGTATCTCATAAATATAATGCCAAGCTATCTGTGTACTATGTACGAGTACCGAACAACCGCTATTGGTACTGAATTATTGACATTTGTGGCTCAGACGCCAATCTGCAACAGATTACGAGGACTTTTTTAACAGCAGCAGCAGCGCAGCAACAGCAGCAGCAGCGCAGCAGCAGCAACAGCAGCAGCAGCAGCAGCAGCAGCAACAGCAGCACACAACAAGTAAAAAGGAAGCATGCAGCATGGGGCAAGCAGCTTCTCGTCATTATGCATGTTCGAATACTGTGTGCACTTTACTCGATATCGTTATGACCATGTACTGGCCATGTATCTGGCAATAATAAGTGCGACTGCACCACGCCAGCACAGCTCCAACTTCGAAAAGCATCGGTTGAGCTCTGCAGCCGCAGACAAATGCAATTTCGCTGTCCGATCATCGATCCCTTCTGTTTTATGCTCGCATGTTGTGCACTATACCAATATGATGGGCCTACAGTTGACGTCGTCGTCGTCGTCGTCGTTGCCATTGCCATTGCCATCGTCAATCGTCGCATCGGCTCGAGGCTCAGGCTGATGCCCATACCCATACCCATACCCAGGCTTAGGCACAGTCTCCGTCTCCGTCTCTGTCTCCGTGGCCATCTAGAGTCTTCAGTTTCGATCCAAGCTGCTGCCATAGTCACAAAGCTTGTAGCGAAATTCGTGCCGTGACCGCCTCTTTCAATTCTGTATTATCAGATTAGCTCTTTTTGTGAGCCTTTTGTTGTTTTTGCATGTTGTTCTTGTTGTTACTGGTGTAATGCTATCGACCGCCAGCATTAAGTTACGAGCCAAAGTTAAACCAGCCGGCAGGCACATGATGTTGTAAATAATAATAATATATACTGCTACTACTACTACTACTACTTCTACTACTACTACTACTGCTACTATTATTACTACTACGTCTACTACTATTTATAATAACAATAATAATAATATTAAAAATAAAAAAATATATATTGCTACTATTACTACTACTACTACTACTACTACTACTACTACTGCTACTATTACTACTACTATTACTACTACTACTACTACTACTACTACTACTACTACTCTACTACTACTACTACTTCTAATAATAATAATAATACTAATATTAAAAATTAATAATAATAATAATCGTAATGACACCAATAAAAACTCTTTGTTTTTATGTATCCTTAACGGATCTTCATAATAATAAAACCAATAATAATAATAATGATAGTCATCAGCATCATCTTAATCCTTTGGATAAACGTTGCATATAGATAGAGGACAATGCTAAATCACAAAAGCCAAATTAATTCTAAGATGAATATTTGAATTAGAATAGAAGCTTCACCTTACACATTCCTAATGTCCTTTATCAGTTATTATTATTGTTAATGGCATACATAATATGAGTCGAAGATGATGATATTTAAGGCTAGTAACAGATTGCCGAGCTGAGCCGAATCATCAACTCAATCAACAGGTGTTGATCCAAAGTTACAAAGAGTTTATCACATTTTTGCTTGGATATTTATTTAGGTTTGAATATCTGAGAAGAATTTCATTAATATTCTACATATTTTTTCCACTACAATTCATGAATTTAAATTTGTATTTGTCAATTTTCTTCCATTTTTATTGCTCTACAATTCTTAAGTTTGTAAATTTTATAGATATATATAAATGTATCATAGGAATACTTATGAATATTGGTGCAATAAATTTATCCCATCCGAAAAGCATGCCTATTGCTCATAGTATATTCATTCATTCATTTCGGTTATTCATTTCTCATATAAAATCTTTTACTCATAGTCTAACCCAACCGCGTTCTACGCCAAACAAGATACCCTGATGCTTGGTGTCAATCAAAGGCAATACAGGAATAAAACCTGGGAGCTGCTATCACACAAGTGTTCACGTTACATTTAGCATTAAATTCAAGTTAACTTCTCAAAGATTTAAAAATTAATATCGTTTGTATTAGTTGCATTGGTTGTTGCTGTGACGATGCTGCAGCTGTTGCTGTTGCTGTAATTGTAGCTGTTGCTGTTGCAGTTGCTGATGTTCCGCCTGGCACTGTTGGTAATATTGCGATAAGGTTCCCTGATGCTGATGCTGATGCTGGTATCGATATGCTTTGCACGTTGTCATAGGCAAAGTACCCATACGTGTGCCCATTCCAGTGCCTGTACCTATATAAGATGTAAATTGGTTGCTCTTCATTACGACTGGATCCCGTTGCTGATATGGCTGTTGCTGTGGCTGCTGCTGTTGCTGTGGCTGCTGCTGTTGCTGTGGCTGCTGCTGTTGCTGTGGCTGTGCCTGTGGCGTGTAGTGTACTGCACCTGGGTGAATGGGGAAGTAGGCAGCATCCAGCTTGAAAAGCTGCGCATACTGCAGGGTAGCAGTGGCTAGATTGCTGGACAGCTGCTGATAAGGATGCGAATAGGGACGGGTCTTGCCGTGACCTGCCAACACTGTCGCCTTGGTGCGGCTCAGCAGTGCATTTGTGAAGTGCTGTGTGTTGCGCCGCAGGCGACCAGTTGTTTCGCCAATGGTAAGGTCCTCAGCATATGGATCGAGTGCCCAGTAGTGACCACGTCCTGGATCATCCAAGGCACGCGGCACGCGCATAAAGCACGGATTCAGACTTAAATTGTGACGTATGGAGTTTTGCCAGACGCTCTTGTTATTCTGATAATACGAAAAATTATCAGCTATCCATTTGCAGATGCCACTCAACGTCAGCCGCTTCTCTGGACTCCTGCGAATGGCCATTACAATCAAGGCGCTGTACGTGAAAGCTGGCTTCGCATTCGGTTTGCTTCCTTCGCCGCCGCTGCCAATACCAGCTGTGGGTGAGTTACCATTGCCATCCTCAGAAGATGCGTCCTCGGAGCTGTTGCATGAATACATGGGACTAGTAATGGTACTGGTATTGGTACTGGTATGGAGACTGTGACTGTGACTGCATTTGGAACTCGGATATGACGTGTGTGGCTTGCTTTTGTCCTCCTCCGCCGAGTGTCTCATGGCGAGCAACGAGCGAATGGAGAAGCTAGACTGGAACACAGGTGCCGCATCCATTGATATATATTAATGCTGTTGCCGTTTATGGAATGCTCAGGAATTCTCGTCAAAATGTGTGTCCTCTGCGTAAATGCCTTCAGTTGACTGTGCATTCAATCAGCTGCATTGGCATATTTATTAAGCAAATGTGTGTGAAGATGCTGGGATTACAGTCATATATAATACATATATATATATATATATATATATATATGTATATATATAGTTTGCTGCCCGTCACCCCTTAAGCCGCCACTGGGTCATATCGGGCAGTACAAAAGCAGATCAATGAAATCCAAAGCCATTGGATTCATTCACTGATCCCAGTCGAAGCACGTACAAATGCCAAAGTTTTTGGATTAGTCAAGCACTTTATGAATTGGATTAATTCTACCTGCCCAAAAACCCAAGTCTTGGTACTTGGCCCACAGCCCACAGCCCTCAATCCACAAACCTTCAGCTACGACTATGCCTGCCTTGCCAACTGCCGCGCATCCAATCCAAATTGTTCGGAATCCATTAAATCATCAAATATTTGTATGTTTCTATCTCTTTCGATTTAACTCGTAAAATGTAAATACAAATAATGTTTTCTAAGCGTTGAATGTGAGAACACAAATTATAAGATTATATTTCTGACTTGGACATTTTGTTCAAATGTGGAAAATAAGTTCATTTGATCTTTTCAAATGTGTAAAATATAATGAAATGATCGAGGCTCAAATCATGGTCAACATAAATACTTAATAACTATTCAGAGGTTATTATAATTTTGTCGTCACATTCTTTTCATGATGATGAGCATCACTAAACGGGTCGATATAGGAAAAGTGTTTTCGACTTCTTGTCTGCATTCAGTAAGTAGATAATATTTAAGGTGTCAAGCTTAACAATCTCAATCTCGAGAATTCGTAGCTAATATATTTTGATATATTATACACACATATATAAGGTATGTGCTCCCATATGTGTACAATATTTACGATGCGATTTAACGCTTGACAGACGGCAAGGTCCTGGCTAACAAATTAAATGCAGTCGGCAGAAGGAGTACATTATCAGTTTTTGGCCACCACATCTGTACAGCGATTGTGAAGTGCAAAATACGGTCCCGGAACCGTAAACGGACCCAAACTCACTAAAACACCCAGACCCAGACCGAGAACCAGAACCAGAACCAGACCGACACAATCCATCCACCTGCCACCTTCAAACCAAATTTGGGGCCAGGGGGCTAGACATGGACTGCATTATTTGGGCATCCAAGGTGTCTATATATATATATATATACATATATATATAAGTACATGCATACATACATACATATACATAGATACTTGTGTACATCCAGACGTGCCTGTACATGCAGGTGGCGAATACAGACTGATATTTAGCTGTATACTTGCCTCGGCAATTGTCTTTGCCCATTGTTGAAATTATGTAATACATATCGTAGTCGTACATGTCCTCAAAGACAGGAAGAGAGGAAAGCAGGAGTGTACACTTGTGCATACCCTGTAATAATGTTGCTGTGGCTACAACGACTATCTTGATGTGAGATTATATTATTATATTATATTGATAATATTATTTGTATAGTAAAATATTTTTAAATTTAGTGTAGATCAATTAGATTCCAATTTGATATTCTATAGTTTTTAGACATCGTTTTCACAGTTAACGTATAAATATGTATATATTTAGAACATGTAAAATGAATTTCATAAAATATATATTTTATTTGATTTTACATTGCATCACTTATGGAAATTGCATATTCACAGCTACGACTCTCTGCAGGGTATCTGCAAGCCGGATATATACAGGCGGTCACATTGTTGTCTCTCTGTTGGTGTGTCTAAAAAGCGTTGCGACGAGACCCATAAAATACCAAACACGCTCATTAGTTTTTTCAATGTGTGTGTTTTTTTGGTTCTATGGGCAAACAACAACAAAATTGCAGAATTACGTTGGCTGCGAGCAGAAAAACAAAGCCAAATTGCATGTAGAACAAGATTATCCATGTCATAATGTCATATCTCCTGGATATATGTATATATATATGTGTGTATATGTGTATATGTGTGTATGTGTATGTATAGAAGCGTACAGCTGCATATAGGTGCAAGCAAGTGTGGCTAACTGTCGCATATTTTTTGCAAGAGTGTGTGTGTGTATCTGTGTAATTGTAACGAGTACACACACACACACACACACATATGTATACGTGTTGGTACGAATCGAAATAAAGTGGCAAATGAAATGCAGTCTGAATACTTATTACAGTATATACTCACCTGAACGTACTGACCCATGTATGTGTGTGTGTGTGTGTGTGTGTGCCGCCATATGGTGGCATATGTGTGTGACTATGTACACATATGAACTCTTAATGTAAGGATATGTAAGCGGCAGGGACGCAAATGCGAAAGTGCCGTGGATACGTATACCAAGCTGGTGTTGTTGCTGGTGTTGCTGGTGCTGCTGTTATTGTTTTTTGTGTTTTGCTGTTTTTTTTTTTTTGTGTTGTTTCGATGTGTGTGCTGTGCTGCAGGCTTAGCGATAACATTGTGGCAATTTTATTTGCCCACAATCTGTTGTTATTCCTTGAGTATGAGCTGCAGGCGGGCCCCGGTGCCAGAGACTTGCCAACAGGAAGGAAGAGAACGAATTTCAGCGGAAGGAAACACTAAAATGTTACTTTAAATAAATTGCACTACTCGTACACCGAACCTCTATTATTTTCTCCTAAGGGAGGCCGCCGGTGCATTGGCAATGGCGTCGCCACTGCCAACGTCACAGCCATCGCCATCGCCATCGCCACCACCAGCAACCAGCGACCAGCACCAGCACCAGCACCAGCACCATTGCCACAGTCATCGCCAACCGGCCCAGGGGTGACATGGACAACCACAAGCCATTGCCATCCAACAAAGATATACTTATTCTGTACATACGCATACACATGCGACTGACTCTGTATGTATATAGATAGATACTCGTTAACTACCCACATGTGGGTAAGAATGCATGGTGAACACAACCCATTCGATGCATTTATTTGTTTGGACACTGACGCCCCCGCAGAGAGTGCAAAATTTACGAGCCCTTTAATCGATCTAAAATTAAAATCGCATGCATAGCAACCCCCTAAAATTAAATAGCCACAATTTTGCATTTGTACCAATGGCATTCCAATAAGCACCGCTAGCCTCCATTCAATCCACTACACACACGTACACACGGCTCATCATAGACCATATTTGGTATATAGTGCCGATAAGGAGAATCAGTCATAGAACATCATCGGATACGGTCTCTACGGAGATGACATGGAGCTAACTCCAATTGACGGGAAAACACCCTGAATCAGTCTAATTGCTAACCGTCAAAAAAGTGTATATCCAACATCCTTCAGCTATATTTTGTGATACTTGGAAAATGAATGTTGCACAACTGGTGACCAAAATCAAGCTGTAGTCAAATCAATTCCGGCCAAAGCAACCAAAGAGCTGCAAACAGAAGATGTTCCCTCCGGCCGTTTGCCGGACTAGGACTAGGACTAGGACAAGCTGGCTTCTAGTCGAGAGTGCTCAGCTTGGAGGTATCCTGAACCCAGCTGTTAAATATATTAATTCGATTAAGACACAGCTAACTTTTTTCTTTCTAATAAGGCTCATCCGATCTTGATCAAATTTGTACTGTTGATCAATAATACGCCATGTATAACATCTATTCGCATCTATTTGTGGTTTTCATTGCTGTCGAGCATCGGTTTGTATCGAAATTTGAGAAACAGAGGCACTCATCGATAAAAATAAAAACAACTTGTTTTTCTAGTGACATACGAAGATTTATATTCGAAATATAAAGTTTCTATACCGTATGGTCTCTGAGATCTAGACAGAGGGACATGGGTAGAATCGGCTGTTATTGCTGACCAAGAAGATATGCACTTGATGGGATCGGAGCTGCTTCCTTCTAATTGTTACATACTTTTTAATGAGTTTAGGGTATACAAATAAAAAGATATATGTATAAGCAACTCCTGTAATTTTAATTGAAAATGTTTTTATTTTCATCTCGCGCGATTCTTACTTCTGTCTTTCTATTTGTAATTCCCCAACCAGAATGATGTTTCAATTAGAATTGGAAATTCTCTATCCTTGTCAGTTGCCCAAAATAAAAAAACATGTTTGTCATTTATATTTTTCATGATATTTTATTGCAAACATATATAGCTTAAATATGAGTTGAAGTTATTTGCCTGGTTACTGCTCTATAACTATCCCACTATATGATACTCTAGTATAAACAAAAAAAAAAAAAAAAAAAAAAAAAAAAAAAAAAAACCTTTTGTTAAACTACAGCGAAAGATCATATCAATTCATTAAACAGTAATCAGTTTTGTTGAACCTTTTCAAGCATTTCGTCGATGACTCGTTTATGTTTTGTATGTTTCTAGGTATGTTGTTTGTATGGGGTTGCAGTTGCAGTTGCAGTACGAATTAATAAAAAAAAAAAAAAAAAAACACAACACCAACCACACATAACTATTGCAAGTATGCGCTTAAAGGCTATGCTTACATAATCGAGTATCACTAACAATATATATCGTTATTAATTAATTATATTCAATTTTTATTATTCATTATCCATAATCGGTATAATATAATAAGTATTATTTATCAATTCTCTACAATCTCATGCTTGTACACAAAACAACAGTTTTTATAAATACAAGTTAAAAAAAAGGGGGTTTCATTATTTTATTTATATACATATATATTCTACACATATATATATCTATATATATATATATATATATATATGTATATATAAATGTATATGTATGCATATATATAAAAAAAAAATCTAGATGATCCATCAAATATTTGATATTAGCCTAGTAAAAGTATTGTTAATAATGAGCAGCAGTGTTGCCAGCAGCGAATTTGCCACTCATCCATCCGCCATCCGCCATCCGCCCTCCCTCCTTCGTCCTTCGTCCTTCGTCCTCCGATATATGTTTATGTATTATGAGCAATTATGTCCTTAGTTTTAGCCTGATATTGCATGAATGAATTGATGTCCACGACGATCCACGACGATCCTTTTAGTGGTAAAATGCCAGCGCCTTGGCATAGTACGAGGTACATGGTCATGATATGCGGTCGGGTGATTGCCGCTGGCTCCGTTCCGCGTCCTCTCCGCCGCCCGCCTGCATGTGCATATGTGTGTGCCCATGCCGGTTCGTCTCGTACTCGGGTGAACCGGATCCGGAGCCGGAACGTGGCCGCAGTCCCATTAGCGAGCCACCATCGCAACCCCTTGCGCTCACCGGCGGTGTTATCGAGTGCTGTGAGTTTGAATCGGAAGACGTGCGCCGACAGAACGGGCTGAGGACTTGGGCGCCGGTCATCATGTGCGGCGTCAAGTGGGGGAAGCGCGGTAGTCTTGGCAGGCCGGGGAAGAGCAGCGGATTGCCGCCATGGTTGAGCAGCAGGCGCGGATCGGTAGCCGCAATAAACGCATTTGCATTCGCATTCACATCACCGAATCCACCAGACACATGACCCGATGCGAACCGATGCTGCAGTGCCTCAAAGCACAGCGGCATGTTCAGACCGTGAGCGTGGGCGCCAGCACAGATGCGTGCCAGTATCTCGGCCTGAATGCTGCTGGGCATGCAGCCAGCCGCAGAAATGGGGCTACCAGATCCAGTGGCACCACTAAGACCACCACCACCACCACCACCACCGCCACCACCAATACCACCGGCAAACGCTTTGCTGTTGTTGATGCTGATCAGCTCCAGCAGCGGATCGGGCGGCATCTGTATGTTGTGCTCGTCACTGGTGGACAACAGTTTGCGATGCAAATTGAGATTGGAGCTGTGGCGGTCGCGGCTGCGCTTCGATGGGAACGCCGCGTTGCAGCCATCGATGTTGCACTTGTGGTGCAGCTTCAGATGTACGCTTTGGTAGTGGGTCTTCAGATGGAAATGGTTCTGAAAGATGTCGCCGCAGGCGGTGCATTTCAATGGATTCTCCTTGTCAATGGGCACCTCTGGTTCTGGTTCTGGTTCGGGTTCTGGCTCCGGTTCCGGTTCCGGTTCTGGCTCCGTTTCGTGCTCTAATTCTGGCTCGGGCTCCGGCTCCGCTTTAAGGCTACCATTTAAGTCTCCACCCTTCATATTTTCAGTCAAAATATTGTTATTATTATTGTTGCTCCTGCCAATGCAATTCTCGTCACCAGGCCGACCATAGAGCAGCTCATCCTGGCCGAGCAGCTCCTGCTTAATGCGCAAAAATCGATTCTCATCCGTATCGGTGCCGTAGCTCAGCGCCAGCTCATCAAGCGGCTCCTGCTTTATGGCCGAACTGCTGGCCGTGTTCAGCGATAGATCCAGTGTGCCAGAGCCAGCATCTGGTTGGGTATGCTGGGCTGTCTGGGATGCAACAATCATTGTTTCATGGTCACCTGTCACCCGATTCAGATTCCGATTCAGATTCCGATTCAGATTCAGATTCCGATTCCGATTCTCTTCCTGCTCGTCGTCCAACTCCGTTTTAATTAGCGATTTCACCTCGCTGGTGTAGGGCGTTAGTGGGGGTGAGGGAATTGCTTTTGTGGACTCACTGGAGCTAGGTAGCACCTTGGCTTCTTTGGCTGTTGCGCCCAGCTGGGCAGCCAGCGGCGTATCCGTTTCGTCTGCTTCCGTTTCGGTATCGTCGCCAAGCTTGATCTTCTTGATTGACAAATCGGCGGCCACATCGTAATTATCCAACGAATTGTCGCACGAATTCTCATCGGATTGCACTGTGCAGCGGACAGGATTTTGGCTCTTTCGCTTACGCTTGCTCGCCGGCGTCTGGCCGTGAGCGTGACTCGAATCCGTTAGACTCTGCGAATCCTCGTGCTGCTCATCGGCATCTGGGCAGGGATCCGGCTCGGCTTTGCTTGGACAGGGGCTGAACTGCTGTTGTTGCTGTTGTTGCTGTTGCTGCTGTTGCTGTTGCTGCTGCTGTTGCTTCTGTTGCTGCTGTTGCTGCTCTTTGGTTTGACTGTGACTGTGACTGTGACTGTGGTTGAGGCTGTGACTGTGACTAAGACTGTGACTGAGACTGTGACTGGAGATGGCTGATGTGGAGCGCTCGTCGCTCTCGTTGTCATTGTCATTGTCATTATCATTGTCGTTGTCATTGTCATTGTCATTGTCCAGTATGTAATCATCGTGACTGTGCTTGTCCTTGTCGGGTATGCTGTCCAGTTCATCGCCCACAACCACAATGCCATCACCATCGGGATCGTCGTCATCATCATCGCCATCACCATCACCATCGCCATCCGCATCGTCATCGTCATCATCGTCGTCCGGCATGTGAATGCCCACCTCAAGTATTTCATCATCGTCATCATCCTCATCGCCTGGGTCGAGTGTCGCCTTGCGACGCTGACCCTCGTATCGGCCCAGCATACTGTTGTTGTCCATGTAGGAGCGCTGGAGATACTCCTGGCCAGCGCCATGCTTTAGTTCCATGGCGCCCAGCGCATGATGACGCAAGTCCGGCGGTGGCGTCAGCAGCGGAAAACTGCCGCCGAAGGGCCCAAGGCTGGCCATAATGCCGTTGGGCGCCTGAAGCAGCAGCGGATGCGGCTGAGCGCTGCGTCCGTCGTGCGGCGAGATCTTGCGGCGCAGATGCGGCGAATGCAGCTTGGGATTGGGATTGGCGCTGTGGCGATTACGGGATCGCCTCGAGCTGAACATCATGCTGCAGCCATCGACGGTGCACTTGTGCATCTCGCGCAGATGCACCGCCGAAAAGTGGATCTTGAGGGCGCCCTTGTCGCAGAAGGTCTTCAGGCAGACATTGCACTGGACACGCTTCTTGCCAGTCACCGGATTGATGAACTGTGTGCCCAAATTCGCCGGCATCGAGCCCCACTGCCGCTTACCGCCCGGTGAGTGGCCCGACTTACGACTCGCCCGCAAACTGGAGCCCGAACCCGAACCGGTGGCCAGTGCCAGGCGTGTCATCCGCTGTGAACTGCTCGCCGACTGTGTGCCCGAGGCACTCGACGAGGAGCAGCTGCTGTTTGACTTGTTGTCACCAACAACGGCAGCGGCGGACAAGTGACGTGATTTACTAACACTCGAATCCTCTGGCGATGTGGGCGGCCCAGCCTTGAGGTGGTGTGGATGCGAGTGCGTATGCTGGTGATACTGGCCGTGACTGTGACTGTGACTGTGACTATGTCCGTGACTATGTCCGTGACTGTGACTGTGACTGTGGCCGTGACTGTGACCATGACTTGTGTGGTTCACCTGAGCATGACTCGACGGCGAGTGCGGTCCATGGTTATGACTATGTTCAGCTGCGCTGCTGTTGGCCACAGATGCCTGATTGTTGTTGGATAGCTGCTGCTGCTGCTGTTGTTGCTGCTGCTGCTGCTGCTGTTGCTGTTGTTGTTGCTGCTGCTGCTGGTGCTGCTGCGGCGGTGGTGGAGGTGGCGGTGGGGGCGGCGGTAGTGACAAGTGATATGGTAGCGGATGCCCAGCCATGGCCATCGCACTGAAGAACTGATTGCTCTGGGCGGCAGCAGCGGCAGCTGCCGCAGCGGCTGCCACAGCGGCGCTCTTCTCGCCAGCCGTTGTTGCCTCATTAATGCGACGACGTGCCTGCGCCAGCACAGCAGCCTGCTGCACCGCCTGCTGTTGTAGATGCACCGCCTGCTGGTGCTGATGGTGCACAAAATCGGTGGCATTGGGCGGCGCCGCAAAGGCGCTGATTTTGCGAAAGTCAAAGGGCTGCATATTTTGCAAGTCGCTCAGCGGATTCAGCTGCGCTGTACTCATGCTCGACGCTGGTGGGGATGAGCCCGCGCCCGTAATGTTTCGCTCCCTCTCCCTCTCCCGTTCACGCTCCCGTTCCCGTTCCCGTTCTCGATCCGGCGGTGAGGGCGGATTGCGGAAGTAGCTGCCAGAGAGCTTCTGATGCAGCTGCGACTGCAAGTGCAGAAAGTGGGCGCTAATGCACTGCGACTGCGTTTGCTGCGACGGGGATTGGGATTGGGATTGGGAATGGGACTGGGACTGGGACTGGTCACCAGTGCTGGCATTTAGTGCATGACGCGTTGGCAGCGGCGGCGAGCTGCGACGACTGGTTGACATAACCATGGGACTGCTGCTGCTGGGACTCCTCACACCTCCTCGTTCCGCGGCGGCGCGCCTAAGATGCTCGATGTGCAATCGATGGTCATGTCCTGGCGGCAGCGGATACCGGTAGCCAAGCAGCAGTGCCGGATAATCGGTGGCAGCGGCTCCAGCAACAGCACCAGCAGTACCACTGACACTATCTGTGCTCCGATTTCGATTGCTGAGCGCCTGATGCTGCTGATGCTGATGCTGATGATGAGGATGAGAATGTGTATGCGGATGCGGCTGCGGCTGCGGATGCGGATGCGTGTGCGGATGCGTGTGCGACGACTGCGAATGCGGATGCGAATGCTTTTCCTGTCCAATATTCATCAAGAGCGGCTGCGTTACAATCAACTCTTAATATTATAGATATTGTTGTCACAATACGGTAGACTAGATGCAGATATTTTCCTCGGAAGATCCTAATTGATTCGTTGTCCGTTATTTAAATATTTCACCAATTTCTGAACCTGCAATCAAAAATGGAAAAAGAAAACCAATAAAATATGTCAGTTTTGAAAATATAGTCAAGAAGAATCGGTTGGATCAAAGTTGTTATAATGTTGTTGTTAAATTAGCAATGGGAAAAAGACGTAAGAATTTAGAGCTCCAACACGCAAGTCTTTTTCTACTATAAGTTGTATACGTAATATATATATATCAATGTATATATATATGTATATTGATAACAACACTTTAACTCTGCAACTCTGTTGCATACAGGCATCATTCCATAAAAAAGGGAACCAGGATAAGCCTGTGAAGAGCAATGAAAATCTCTTCTTGTTGTCTTAACTTTACCGTAGATGATAAATATGTGGGTCTAAGCTGTTGTCCTTATAAAATAAGAAAACTATATTTAATCAGATTATTCGAGTAGGAGTCCTGCTTCCTTTTATTGAAATGGATGAGTTGTACCATCCTAAGTTGTAAGCGTACTAACACCTCTATGGTTTAACCATTAACCAATTATATTTTATTCTATTTCTATGATTTCTTATATTATTTAAAATTTTTCTTCTTGTTCTTCTTCTCTTTTTTCTGGTATTCTCTTGCTTTCTGTTCTTGTCTCAATTCTTCTTTTCCCACTCTTTTTTGCTATCACTTTCTTTTTGATACATTTCCTGCTTGTCTTTCTTTACTTAATTTTGATTCACGTTTCTCTAAGATTGGATGCAGCCTTGTCTTCGTTTCTGGCTGGGATGATTGTGTACTCATTTGTATCTACAGCATAGTCTTATACTGCCTGGCTCGTTCCATCATCGCACAAATTCATTTTGTTGATTTCTATAGTAATTAATTAATTATAGTAATTAATCTATTATAAAGTAAACAAAACTGGTAGCCTTGAGATCGGATCGACTGACACTTGTACTTGTTCACCTATTTTAAATTGATCCATATCAATATTAACCATTCACGTTTCGCAGTCGCAATCGCAATTTGATGCAATTCGTTTTAAACTCGATGCAAATCCTTCTTTTGAAGTATGTCCTTTACCACCATAATTATGACACCTTACTTTATTATTGGGAATATTAATTTCAATTCAGGTCAGGTTTTAAATTCTCCGGAGAGTGGTTTCTTCCCTTCCTCTCCACGCATATGATGCACATATGCAATTATTTTGCTTGATTGGGTCGTACAACAAAAAACTAGTTGCACATCATGTATTACATATACATATATGTAAAGATGGTATAAATATTAAGGTCTTCGAACTTAAGCATGGGAATTTTAGTTAGTTGCTTTTATATATATATATATATATATATAAATCATTTTTAATGTATGTAAGTGCGTTAAGCTTGTACTGATTGAGGTCCGGCCTATCTAATTTTATAGTACCCTCCCGGGATTTTCCATAACTCAGTCACATATATATATATTTAATTTTAATGCACACGTTTTTTGAACTGCATCGATAAACATAGAAACAAAAACTATCTGAAATGTTTGTATATGTGAAATCCTAAAATACTAATAAGTAATGATATAAGAAACAAAAAAGCTAATTTTCTTACTTTTCTTTTAAATAAAAATTAATTTAACTAATGCAATTAATTAGTGTAATTCTTCTACAAGTAGCTTCTTCAGTTTCTAATTCCTCTTGCAGATATTACATAAAGAAATGTCTCTGCAAAGACGCAATTTCTTGAGACATATATTTTCATAAAGATATTGTATGTAAATGAATATTAAAGTAATAATTTAATTGTTTTAAGTTGTTGTCACTCCATATGTAATTAAAATCAATTAATATTAACGATTATTTGCTGCCTCAATCCCCCTCTTCCCCCCTCCCGTTAGACCGTCCCGTAAACCGTTTATGCCACACACTCTTGAATAAAAACGCCACTTGCAGCCGTCGCTGTCACTGTTGCTGTTGCTGTTGCTGTCGCTGGTGCTGTATCCATGTGAAACATTGTCCACTGTTGTTGCTCAAGGAGTTCCACCGAAAAGGCCTAACGAACGAAGTGGCCGAAAGACCTCCCAGGCTGGCCACTGTCAACACCCATAAATATGTATGCATGTAGCGTGTGCGTGTGCGTGCGTGTATGTAAATATGATTATTTAAAAGAAAAATAAGAATAATGATGTGACAAATTCTAAGTGGACACTTCACGTTTTTAAGAGCAAGCAGGCGACGGTAACGATGATGCCGCACACACACTCGCTGGAGTCCACAGAGTGGACATTTGGCTCAACGAGCTGCGGCTCTAGAGCTCTGCTCCGGCGTGACATGACTATGTATATATATACACTCACACACACACACAGACACACACGGGAGAGTCAGTGCCAATACGAGAAGAAGACGCTGACTGTCTTCGTGCTGTCGACCACGGCAACTTCCACTTCAACTTCCCATGTCACATTCTTCTGCGCCGCACAAGAACCGAACGAACTCCATGTCGTTGTCTAGCTAAAGACGGCCAGCTTCACCCCTAGCCCCAGCCCCAGCCCCAGCTCCAACTCCAGTTCGAGCTCGAGCACCAGCCTCTGTTCATCACCGGCTCGTGATCGCGATCTTGATGAGAACGCTCTTGCCCCGGACGACTCGCGATCGTTTGGCTGATGTTCGATTTGGATACGCAAATTATTATTGGCATCGGCATCGGCACCGGCATCGGCATCGGTGTTGACCTCAGTGGCAGTGTCAGTATCGCTCCAAAATTGTAAGCCATATTAGCTGATCATTGAGTAACGATGCGAGCACAAATTGTACCTAATTTTAGTTAACTCAGCATATCATTAAATGTTGTTGTACTGTCAACATAGCCGCAGCACAACAAAAGAAGAAACATTCATCTAATTCACTAGTTCCAGCTGCTGTCTTCAGTTTTTAATGTATTTGCATTTAATTAAATTCCACTGAAATTCGATTACTTTCGAACGGTAAAAGTTATCAAAAGCATGTAAGAATCTTGTAGTCAGAGCTCAACTGGATGAATGATGACCCCGAAGCCCAAGTCCTCATCTGTTATAAGTTGTTCTCATCTTAGATATTTATGAAAGTTTCTTATTTGTTCCAGGCATATATAATATTCAGCTTGCTCTTTCTTGTATCTAGTTGGGATGATATTATTATTTCTTAAGACTAGACAAGACCAAATTTGGAGGATAGATTTGAAGAAAGCTTCGAAGATTTGCAAGGGCTTGCAAGGTACATTATTGATAACCGCATACTAATTATCAGTAAAAAAAGAAACAGATTGATGGGGTCCCTACCCTAAATTATATGTACTGTGTACCGATAGTGTAAATTGTCAAAAGCCACCACATTTTTAAGGCATAGCCAGCAAACTTGGAAAGTAAACTGCTGATGACTTCCTTCTCTTCGATCTGCTAATAAATTTCGTGGTCACGAATCACACAATTGAATACAGTGTTATTAATGACGCTCTCCAAAGATTTGGAAAACAAGTTTCTCACCACGCTACCACAAATCGAAAAACCCTAAAATTCCCACAGTTTTGGATTTCAATTGTAGATTAGTAACAAACTCATTGAATAGTTCGATTCGCTAACCTATCCAATTTTCGATCTGAATGGCGCTTTTTTTCTTATATTCATACAACAATTTATAAATACTTTATATATCATCCGAAAGCATTGAGATCATGGTCAACATTCCTTCCAAGCTTTTTCGGATAAGTGACAAAATCGAAGAGCGTCAATTAAACTGGGCTCCAAGATTGACGTTATCTAAATAAATGTCATTACAAGAAGAATGACAGCAGCAATTATGAACAGGTGGCAATTAAACTACAATTTGTGCATTATTTAAATTGCTTGCCGAGTTGACATATGTCGTGCAAATTACCCACAGACAACGAGTTTCAATATATCTGTATATATGTATATATATATATATACACACATACACGACACACGTGTAAATTGTGAATAGCAAAGTTATTTGTTGAGAGTAACATTGTTGAACTTGAGTATATGACTGCTATACTAATGACAACACAATTATAAAGCATACTCAACCAGATCTATATTTAGCTAAATATGCCGTTTGAAATCTAGTTTTTTTTTATTATTATTTATAAAAATGGACAAATTGGATGCAAAACTCTGTAGTTTAATCCGAAGTTGTAAATTGACAAATAACACAACTGACAACTATCGTGTAACTGACTCGTAGAATCGTTTTGAGCTGGTGTTTGAAATTTTAAATGTAACCTTTTGCAATAATTAAAAATCTACTTTTATTTTATTTTTTATTTAGCTCGAAAGGACCCTGGACAATTTAGCTTAGATTAGTTTTAAAATCAGGTAATCAGTAGTTCTCGCAGATAGTTAAAGAAACTTGATGTTCTCGCAAACCACACGCAGGTCTGCCTAACTTATCGATAACTTCCACCCTCTCCGATATATATATATGTAAATCCCTAATCGATAATAATAATAGCGAAAATTGATAAGATATATCTCACTAGTTGGCATAATATTGATCATCTGTAATAAACTCATCAAGTTAATCGGTTAGGGAACACGGAATATTATCGTATTCACTTGCACACAAGTTGCGTAACTAGTTTTTGTACACATTTTGTATTTATATTTACATTTATTGATGTCTACGGTTAAAAAAATAATAATAAAAATAATAAAAACGTCATTTAATGGTACTTAATGCATTAGGGAGCTGCTTACCCTTATAAAAAAAAAGTGATGGAAAATGCCACATGAATATTTTGTACTTTGATTATGGCAATGAATAACTTCCAGTGTATTTTACAAATATTACATACATGATGAAAACACTCTGTAAAAATATGTTGACAGATGAATCTCGGTTAATAGAACTTAATGCTCTTTATGACAAATTTTACATCCTAGTGGCTGCTGATGAAGCACATTCACTTTGAATAAAAATGCATAAAGAATTCATAATTTGAAAAGACCACCAAACAAATTTAAATTATCCCTCGTGGCTAAGCTGTGAGATACACAAAAAATGCCATTCCAGACACCAATCATCTTTATTGGCTTTGTATATACACACACACACGTCTATATATATATATATATCATATATACATATATGTTTTTTTTTGTTTATGCATCAGTCATGAGGAACGTATTTTTAACGCATTCCGAAGGCCATAAAGCAGAAGCCATAAATGCGTGTTAAAGTCGACCAACAAAAATTTCAAATGTCAACCATTAAACGAACCGAATGTCCCAAAGATGCCAAGACACCCAAAGCAATAGCCAGGGATTTGGACGGGGACGGAGACGGAGACGGGGACTGGGACAGGAACGGGGACAGGGACAGGGGCAGGGACAGGGGCAGGGACAGGGTCACAGGCAGAGCGACTGAGAGGGATCCCAGAAGCAGCAGCGTGTCGCATTCTCTCTATTTTGTAAAACTTAATTTATTAAACACATAAAAAGTGTCAACACGGCTTGCTACACAAAAAATAAGTTGGTCAAGCCGGCAGCTAACGCTTCAGCGCTGATGCCGTTCCCCCTAACAGGAAGGCCCAGCCGATGAAGAAGATGGAGATGGAGATGATGATGAAGAGGAAGAGGAAGACGAAGAGCAAGAGCCAGAGTCTGAGCCACAGTCAAAGCCAAAAGCGGGTGAGCCGCCAGCAGCGTGACCACCGCATCACTTCAGTTTTGATTATGAACGCCTCTGATCGCCTCCGACTGCCGCTGAACAAAGCTTAGCAAAGTGATTTTAACAACATTTTTTAATATGCAAATCGCTTTAGGATCGTTGACGGACGCCGCTGTGGCACCGCCAACAGCAACAGCAACAGCTACACCACAACCACAACCACAACAACAACAACAATAACAACAACCTCGAGAGGATGGTAGAAAAGGCAACAACAAAGCGCCAACAGACGCTAGGGAATATGTGGATACCCAATGGAAGGACATCGACAAGAACATGGACATGAACAGGGAGATGGACATGGGTTTGGGAATGAAAATGCGAACGGGAATGGGAATGGATATGGATATGTGTGTATTGTTATTGTGGTTATATGGCTATATGGGCTTTCTGGCACACACACACACACACACACACACGCACACACACACACACGCACACCTCAGCCGTTTCTCGCTGACACATTTCGGGCGACAAATGCATATTCATAATTTGGCCACGGTTGCGACTGTGGCGCTACTCAGACCTAGGGCCCAATGTCTGAGCATATCAGTTGTTATGTTTGGGGGCACAGCGGGTAACCGCATTGGCTGTTCACTGATCGCAGTTTGGAGCTCAGCCTGTGTAATTGAATCAAGACCCGAGCTGCTTACCCAGTCAACTCAACAGTTGGCCAACAGAGAGCGAGACAGAATTAAAGTACAAAGTACAGTTCAAGAATAAACATATGAACTTTTGTAGCTGAGTCTCAGACTATATCCATAGAAAGGTCTTATGCTAAAATCAACTAATCGATTTAGCCCAATTATTAGCAGGAATATTCTGTATTCAAAAGTATTCCTATTTTCAAAAGTATCGACTCAGATTTAAGATATCAAACTTGACTTGGAGTTTTTTTACCAATTCAGTTATCGTTGTTTGTTCTACAACTAAATCCATGATCAGGATTAATAATTGTAAGATTATTAATATTATTATTATTCTCGCATATTTCGTGGCGTCAGCAACCTGACGACAATTTTATAAGTTATGAGCCGTTCACTTCAACAGGCAATCCAAAGCTCTGGAAACAGACCGACAGACAGACCGACAGACAGAAAAAGAGACGAAAAGAAAGACTCGTACATAGGTCCATATAAAATTGTTCCAGTTGGCTGTGACCGACTAGGAAATATGCTCTAGCCAGCTATGTATATATTTGAAAACAATTAAAACCGGTCGAAGTCGAAGACTACAGTTAGTACTCCATAAGCCCAGTCCCTTTTTGCTAAGTCATCTTTTGTAAATAAATAAATCATTTTTATTATATTATAGTCCAAGCTAATTGGAGGGTTAGAGCTTTAGCACTGTGCGTTTTTTGGCTCTCGAAATTCCATTTTTTCGAAAATTAGAATAAATAAAACTTGATCTGCGCGATCTGTGTGCAGGACTTATATCCTGTAACGTCCTGTTAGTCCAGGCGAACAAAGGTTGACTCGGTCGACTCGGCCTTGAATGAAGGAATATATTTATACTTTATGGGGTCAGAGATGCTGCCTTGTGCTGGAGATGCTGTATATTATATACAGGTATATACACAGCTTTATCATACCCTGTCGAGCCTTCTTTTAATTGATGCAGGGTATAAAAAGGTATTTGTAAAGAAGAGCTCAAAGCGAACGAGACAAAACGAAACGGACTGAACCGAATACAGACCCCATTCTTATATCTTACTTGTTGCCGGGAGCGAAACAAACGATTGATTGAAGGCAAGGCGGCGGCTTTGTTCATGTGCTACAAACATCGCATTTAATGAGATTTATATCAGTTTTTAATAGCTTTGTGACTCTATTGTGTTTGCCGTATCTGAAGTGAATATCCCAGGCCATCTCGGGCCGCCTCAGACATTACAATAAAAATTAGTCTGCTGTAACATTGTCAAAACGCTTATGGGTGACCGGCAAAGGTAAATGTACCATAAGTTTACAAGAATATACACAGCTTAGCCGGATCACCACCCAGACAGATCGAGGTCTAAGGACAGACATATCTTTGGTCAATAGTTCAGGTCAATGGGGTGCAGTCGATACTTACATATTGGCAAAACTGCAAAAACTTCGACTTTAACATCTGCAAAGAAAAATCAAATCAAATAAAACGTGTATTAGTCAATTTTACATATATATATATATATGTACATGATGTATATGTGTAATAATATATTACTTTTAAAACAGTATCAATTATGGCAATCAAATGCTTGGTTGGTAAAGATAAATATTGTTCGGTCACATATTGAATTCGGCACAAAACGAATGCCTCGAAATGGTGTTAATTCAAATCAAATGACCAAATGTAATAAACGACCATAAAATATAATCGGAGTCTTCTCTAAGCCGATACGAAAAATATGCTAAGTGTCAGTGCAAACATAAGATCCCACGACATTCAGAAGATATTTAAAACTTGTAAGTATCGAAGTCGACGCATTAATAATCTCTACAAAAGTTCAACATTTTACATTGTATTTATATTTATTTTCTTTGCTTTACATTTGAATTTTCGTTGTTGTTTACTTGATATATAGCTTGCCAAAATTTGATAGTTATAACTCATTTGATGTAAATGTAATCTAAAATAATAAAGTGTATAAGCGAAAGTAAGATACCCGAATCGAGTTCATGCATATCAAATCGTTGCCAAGTTGACAGCGTATGACACAAAATGGGAAAAGAAAACCAATTAAACTAGCTAATCAAATATTATTGTGATTAGCACCAACCAATTTAAAAGGCTTATTAGCAGTATCATTTAGGTATTTCTTCCCCAGTCCCCAGTCCCCATTCCCCGTCTATTGGGCTTGGTGTGTGTATGCAGCCAACACACTTTAGCTAAAGCATACAAGACTAAGTATACAGTGCAATGTGCTCATTTCAGTTGGAGTTGTTGGGGTTCAGTGTGGCAGCCCAAGAAATAAAATATCTATATACATATATATAATTACCATCGCTATTTTCCTTCTTAGGGCGGCATTCGGAGGAAACAAAATCAAACTATTATGCAAATACAAAAAGAAAACAAAAAGGATTCTCGTATCAAGAAAATTCTTTCCCAAGAGGCTGAATCTGCGACTATTATGAAAACACCTGAGTACCATCAACTTTTCGTAAATAGTTGGTATCTTAAACTCGGGCATACCTATGTTTCTTATCTTTAAATAGTTTCTTTTTCTTTTCTGTTTTTTTTTTGTTGTTGTTATTCTCTATTTGGCTTAAAAACTTGGACAGTTAGCAGCTTAAATTCGATTTTAACTATGCAAATATTGTATCAAACAATTAGCAGTATTATCACATGTTTATTATATTTCTAAAAGGGCACATGTCAACCGCTAGAGAATCATTAATGCATGAAAACTTCTAACCGATTCAAATATTCTACTTTTCTTTTTTTCTTTCATTTTTCCCTTTAAGAGTGTATTATAATTTGGTCGTGATGGAGCCGATTGATGGAGACATCTTCCATTTGATATAGTATATATATATTCTTGATCTGCTTTATTGGCCCAGTTGATATAGCCATATCCGTTTATCTGTTTCCAAGCAAACTAGGAATACAAATTGTAATCTACTCTAATTATATTGAAATCGGCCGGATCAGACTATTCTTCTATATAGCAATCATTGAAACTACATTTATATATTGTGTATCTAGTGAGATTGGCTCAGATAATTATTTATTTTGTATCTAATGAGATTATCGTAGCCAATCTCACTGGATACAAAATAAATAATTAACTTAGATACAAAAGAAATAAATTTATATGTGGTCAGGATCAGGCAAGGGTATGTAATCTTAAGAGTCCTTTCATTTATTTGTTGTTTTTTTTTGTTGATAAAATAAAAAATGATAGGTGATTGGCAGTGGCGTACTTCACAATCCTGGCGACGACAATGTGCGCCTCCTTACAATTGACGTTCTAATTGAATCAATATTAAAATCAAAAGGTGCTCGCCCCCAAACCGTGCCTCCCAGCCATCAACAATGACAACAACACTTGGACCTGTATATATAGCAGTCAAGCGTGTCCGTCCGTGTCTGTGACGATGACGATGACGGTGCCGGTGTCCGCACCAGGAACGGGCACTTGAACCACACTGCCGAGCAGAGACCTCGCACCCTCCTTGGTGTGGCTTCAGTGTGTCGGCTGCAAAAGTGTTGGGGTTGTCCTGGGTCTGGGTCTTGGGTTCGGGGGCTGATCCATTCGCTTGCACCTTCAATCGAATGCATATATGAACAATGACGCTTGACTAACTGACTAACTGACTAACTGACTAACTGACTGTCGGGACTGCCGGATCATGTGTCTGTATGAGTGAGTGTCTCTTTTGCGTTTTAGAATTTGTACACATTAATATATATATACATATATATATATTTATATCTATATATATATACATATATGTATATATATATATATTTCATTTTTTGAACTGTCTCCCTGACAGCCAACGGAATGTTTTGAGTGACGTACAAAATGATGTCGTGTTGTCGTTCGCCGTTTTGACGTTGGGTCGTGCCACGGCAACGTCGACGTCGCCGTCACCGTCACCGTCACCGTCACCATCACCGTCACCATCACCGTCGAAGTCCAGTTCCACCAGGTTGAAATTTTTCAGTTGTACCGCCGGCATTCGCATTGCTACGAGGGCCCCGTCAGTTGGGTTGGACATGGCAGTAGTGACTTTGACTTGAATGTGCGACAAGAGAGTGCGCGCGAATTTCAAGTGCGACGTCAAATCAGCTAACTTTTCATACCCTGTGGCCGTATGATGTGCTCAAGCGGGTATTATGGTATACAGAATGCGACTAATTATATATGAAATTATTACTTTTATAGTCCTCTCACTCTCTCTCTCTCTCTTTGTATATGTGCTGTGTTTACAGATACATCTGTCGGTTATGCAATCTCTTCCAACATATTCCAACTTGGCCTCTAAATGTATTTATTTCATTTAATTTCCCATAATAACTATAATGAACGTATCAAAATGTGATCACGTTTTATATTTATGATACACTTTAACCAAAATTCGATACTCTTTCATATACTCTGCTGCTTGTCACACTAGTGTACATGTGTATTGCACCTAAGTATAGAGGAAAAGTACACATGCGACTTGAGCCTATGAGCGGTGTGACAATTGCGCATAAATCACAAGCCCACATAAGGGTTAACGACGACGCGTCGTCAACTGCCAACGGAAAGTTGTGAAGTTGTTTGGCATTACAATCTTTGCTTTTCGCGCTCGCACGAGCTGGCACTGTGACTGCAGACTGCGGACTGCGGACTGAGACTGTGACTGTGACTGTGAGTGTGACTAGAACGGAGGAGGACTGAGGACTGAGGACTGAGAACTGAGTCTGGGGATTGGGTCTGTTACTGGAACTGGGACTGCGATTGGGACTGCGACTGCGACTGGGACTGCGACTGGGACTGCGACTGGGACTGGCATTCAGCGGTTCGCGTCTGCGTTTCTTTGAAAGGCACACGTCATGGCTGTGTCAGTGTTTATGCTGGCCGACCATGCATTATATACGTAGACAGGCGCTCAGTCAGTCAGTTTGGCAGTCAGTCAGTCACAAAGGAATCACTTGAGAAGTGAACACGTTAACGGGGAAAAATAGTTCGTCGCCTACTCCAATGCCATTCTCTCAGACTGCTTTGGGGTGCATGGAGTACAAGATGGCAGAAGTTGCATTGTGTCGCCCAAAAAACACTTGCAAAAACCTCTTAAGACTGTCAATCCAATTCCAAAAAAAAAAAAACAGAAATAAATAAATAAAATAATAATAATGCTGTTGTCGAGTGAGCTCGACTACGCAATACCCTGAGCCCTTTGCGCGCTCAAATGTAAGCAGATATTAAAAATGATGGCTTTTATTGCTATCGGACATCGATTTGTATCGATAGACTTATCGATCAAATAAAATATGCTCGATATGCGCGAGGACAAGACCATTGGAACCGTCTTATCCATTTTGTTTGTCAGTTAAAATCGATAAAACGACTAAGCCAAGTGTGCCCAATTCATTCGATTCGTTTGGTAATTCATACAGAAGCTGAGTATTAATAATAGGGATTTTGTAAGCAATGGATCTTCTGTCGGTCTTATGAGATTTAATAACTTGCCCAGTAATACCGATCAAGAAATTGAAATTGAAACTGTTGAAAGTTAAGCTTGATGACTTTGACTCGTTTTGAAAATATTGCGTTAATCAGCAATCAAATAAATTATTAGTTATAGTTTAAGGTTTGGGTTTCTTTGCCAGTTTAAGTAGTTTGATGGCTTCGGCAATTATTTATCAGCGGTCAACTTAAATCCCAGTCTAGTTCAGTATAACACTTCAATGTATACTGAATACAGGGAAAATGTACTAAAATCGCCAATATACTTTAAGAAATGGATTCTTAGGAGCCATTACATTATTTGCTTTAGGCCTTACAAATATATTAGAAGGCACTTCAAAACTGCATGCTTTTTATTTACATATTGCACACATTCTACCAAGCGGAAACTGATCAAATTTGGGAATTTTCAGGAAACGAACAAATCTGTTTGTGTTCGTTTTCAATTAAGATATTAGAGCATTTATCGTATCTATTTATTTAATTATGATGTCTTCTTTTGGAAACCTTGTTTCGCAGAGTTGTTTTATTTTGTTTCTTTTGTTTTTGCTTGAGCTTATTGATAAGCATGGATATTCCAAGCAATATACTAAATGCAAAAATCTTTTGAGCTATTTTTGATGAAAACTGAATCGATTGTTTAAAAGAAACGAACATGGTCTAATAGGAATAATAAGAATATGATGTATGTGTTAACAAATAAGCGCTAAATGACAAATTTTGTGTTGATTTTGTTTTCATTATTATTATATATATATCTATATTCATCCTAATGCCTTATCGTGAGTGATTGTGATTGGGTATTGCAACAAGTATCGCATAGATAAATTAATGCAAGTTGAAGGGCTTTTGATTTATCGTACACATATTTATGTGCAAGTACTTATACAGAGACACACACACACACACACACACACACACACACACATAGCTTGATTTTGTT